CTTCTGTAGAGTCTTAATGTTCTGAAACATCTGTTTGTGAACCAACATCATCAGGGACACTAGCACAGCCTGGGAGTAGGATTTCCTAATTAGCAGCTGCTACAGAGTCAACTCCTCGTCACCCACCCACCCCACGAATGGGGGTTTTTCAACTTGCATTGTTTCTGAGCAGTGGAGTGGGCGTGGACGGGAGTGCGTGTGTCATCCAAAGAGGCAATTTCCTCCCGGAGGGCTGGCCGGGCGCCCCCACACCGCTTCAGCGGGCCATGTGTCAAGTGCTGCCAGCCACAGTCTCGGGTTTCTGGGGCACCGAGTGGAAGCACCAGCCCTCTCTGTTCATTTCCCTCTTGAGATTCAGATTTCACTAAGTGCTAAGTGTTTTCGCATGTGTTATCTCAGTTAATGCCCATGTCAGCCGGTCAAGTGGGAATCCTGGGGAAACTGAGGAGCAGGCTGATTAGGTGATTATTCAAGGCCACACGCTCAAACGCAGAGAGACTCACTCTGAACCCAGGTGCCATTCTATCCCTCCCCGATGATCAGGGCCAAAAATGCCCCAGTGGCCTTCAACTTCAGCCTTAAACCCAACGGCATGGCGCGTGCGGCCTTGTGTCTCCCTGAGAGGAAGGGGACGGTGAGCATCCCAGGGGCTTTGGAGTCAGACAGACTTGGTAGACAACAGCTGCACGGTATTAGCTGGAAGAATGCACAAGAGGACTTTTAAATCAGCTTCCATGTCAGGGAGGAATCTCATGGGCAATGAAAAGGAGGATCATAGAAAGAGCAGAGGCAGAATGGAGAACAGGTTTGCGGGACAAGAAAAGCCTCTTTTTGGAATGTGACGTTTGGGGGGGTGAGGTTGGAACTCCCAAGGGGAAAGGTCCGACAGGCAGTTAATATTGGGGACAATGGATTAGATTACAGGGGTGGGCAAACTTTTTGACTCGAGGGCCACAATGGGTTCTTAAACTGGACCGGAGGGCCGGAACAAAAGCATGGATGGAGTGTTTGTGTGAACTAATATAAATTCAAAGTAAACATCATTACATAAAAGGGTACGGTCTTTTTTTTTTTTTTAGTTTTATTCATTTCAAATGGGCCGGATCGGGCCCGCGGGCCGTAGTTTGCCCACGGCTGGATTAGAAGGAAGGACAAGGAGATGGCATATGAAGGGTCAAGGACTGGATTAAAGGGAAACTTAAATCTGGAGGGAGGAGAAGAGCCCATGAAAGAGACACAGATGATGAGGGGAGGGTAGGACAGAATTAAAAGCAGGGGACAGGAAGGTGGCAGGTGCTGGGATGCAGCAGAGAGAGGCCATGGATACCAGGACTGCAAAAAGAGGGTCCACGGAAGCTTTACGGAGAACAAAATGATGCTCCTATTCTCAGAGACCGAATGAAGAAACCCCACATATTTACAACCTGCAAAGCACTTTTCATGGGATAATTTCAGGGCCCTAAATGAACTTGCTAGATCCTGACATTCTAAGTGGCAGGCAGGAGAGAAATCTTACCCCGTTTCACAGAAGGGAAGGGTGAGGCCCAGGGTAACCCAGAAAACAAGTGGCAGGGTAGGGCCTAGAGCAGTGATGGCGAACCTTTTGAGCTCGGCGTGTCAGCATTTTGAAAAACCCTAACTTAACTCTGGTGCCGTGTCACATATAGAAATTTTTTGATATTTACAACCATAGTAAAACAAAGACTTATATTTTTGATATTTATTTTATATATTTAAATGCCATTTAACAAAGAAAAATCAACCAAAAAAATGAGTTTGCCATCACTGGCCTAGAGCCAGCTCTTTAATTTCCTAATTAACCACCCATATGAAAACCAATGAGGACGGAAAAGTCAGGCAGCTCTCCCCTAATTAATGCGTGGCGTGCAGACTGCTTCACTAGCTAGCATCCACAGTGCTTGGCATCATTCATTCTGGCCCGAGTTGGGACATTAGCTGGGTTGTCTTGGATGCCCCCATCCCTCCCCAAAGATGACCTCCATCCTCAGGGACCATAGCAACCAACTAGTCTGACCCTCAGATGACAGGACTGGGCTCCAGAAGGGGCAGTAACAGCTCAAAATCCACAATATAGCCAGTGAGTGGCATTTATGAATTCAAAAAGTTCACTTTCATATTTCTTAGGATGGCTATTATGAAAAAAAATCAGGAAAATAACAAGTGTTGACAAGGATGTACAGAAATTGGAAACTTCTTGCATTGCTGGTAGAATGTAAAATGGTGCAGCCATTGTGGAAAACAATTTGGTGGATCCTCAAAATTTAAACATAGAATTACCATATGATTCCCTGCTAAGTATATACACATAGAATTGAAATAGAGCCCTGGTCCATGTGATTCAGTTGGTTGGAACATTGTCCCGTAAACCAAAAGGTGGCAGGTTTGGTTCCAAGACAGGGTATATACCCAGGTTGTGGGTTCAATTCCCAGCTGGGACATATATGGGAGCCAACCAATTGATGTTTCTCTCTCTCTGTCTCCCTTCCTTTCTCTCTTTCTCAAAAAATAAAAATAAAAAAGAACTGAAAGCAGCTACGTGTACACCCATGTTTATTGAAGCAGTATTCACAATAGCCAAAAGGTAGAAGCAACCCAAGTGCCCATCAATGGATAGATGGATAAACAAAATGTATTTATATACAATGAAATATTATTTAGCCTTAAAAAGGAAAGAAAATCTGACACATGCTACAACTTGGGGGAAACTGGAAAACATTATGACAAGTGAAATGAGCCAGACACAATAGGACAAATAATGTATGATTCTTCTTGTATGAAGTACCTAGAATAGGTGAAGTCATAGAGACAGAAAGTAGAATAGAGATTAGCAAGGGCTGGGGGGAGGGAGGAATGGGGAGTCATTACTTAATACGTTTCCATTAGGGGTGATGAAAAGTTCTAGAAATGGATGGTGGTGACGTTTGCACAACACTACGAA